AGGACCCACCGGCTCGCATTCACCAGGTGGCATTGCGGATCTTTAATATTTTTTGTTGGTTTTTATTGAACTCCAATAACTTTAGTTTAACACGCTGGTTTTTGAGATCAATATTATCCATAATAGAGGTTTTTTTTTCGGGTTAGATCGCGTAAATGTGTATTTAGATCCGATACCGCCGGACACAGCCATATTAGTAAGGGTTGTCACGTAAACAAAACGTGCCAATTCGCTACAAGTTCAGCACACCGGTGTGTTAAGAGAGTAAACCCACAACATTTTACAATTCGAGTACAGGGACTCCTCTACTTACGAACAAGTTAGGTTCCAGAAGTTCGTTCGTAAGTCGATTTGTTCACATTACTCTATCGATTCCAAACATGTTGTACGGCGTGTACACTACACACGGGGGAATGGCTTTACAAGTTGTATAATCTCCTGTAGATGTAGATGTCACTGGTTCTTCATGTTCTGTAGCTGTAGATGCCACGAGTTCTTCACGTTCTGTAGATGTAGATGCCACCACTGCCATCTATTGCGCGGCGGTTGAACTTACTACTCTCGGTCCAAAGAGGCAACTGGACATACGGACATGTTTGTTCGTATCTCTTGAAAGTTCACAAGTCGAATGTTCGTAAGCAGAGTCCATGTGCAACGTTTCGCGGGAAATTACAACGGACTCGCACAGTCTCTCTCTCTCTTTTTGTTGTTGTTCAAGTTACTCTATTTAGTGATGCTGTTACTGCTGCTGCCGTTGTTGGCAGTGGTACACAAGCACAGTTACACTAAAATATGCGACGTTCTGGGCAATGGGCCCAATTGGTGCATATGCCATGAAGAAAAGGCCATGAGCCTGGAACGTCTCCCGATTACACGTGTTCATTTTAATGCCACACATTGTTAATGACGAGTGTGTGGGTTTTATTCACAGTCCAGGTAGTCCTCTATTTACGACGGAGATGCGTTACGACGACCCCATCGTAAGTCGAAAATATCGTAAGTCGAAAATGGCCCTAGCCTACCCAGGAGTCTTAAAGAATGGTGGTAATTTTTCAAAACAGAGCAATATACAGTACCGTGCTGTATAAACTATATACTGTATGTATTTATTAATTACAATACTGTATTGCACAGTAAAATTTTAAGTACAAAAAAACAAGGTAAATTCTTAGCCTACCATGAACTGCAATTTAATAGAAAGTTTTTTTATCAGGAAACAATCCTATCTGCTATAAAAACTTTTAACATGCATTGAACGTATGTATCGTATCGTGGAAATCCTAAAATGAAATCGCTAAAGCTATGTATCATACATACATTGAACGTATCGTAACATATTCTTGGTTCTTTCGGTTAAGTCACGTTGAAGGGAAACAATAAAATAATAAAATATATATAAAACAATATTGTTTCCCTTCAACGTGACTTTACCGAAAGAACCAAGAATATGAATCACTGCAGTCACGAAAGCTTTAAATCAAAATTGTATCGTAACATATATTGTACTGTACTCACCAAGATTCTGTCCGTCGTCTGCATAATTGAACGATGTTAGGTTGTTGATGGCTACATTAACCTAGTTGTCAGAAGAGGAGGATGGCGATGATAAAGATACAGTATCTTGTACGCTGCTGCGTTTGCCAGCTGCGCGAAATTAAAAATATTTTACAATTTTGTCATATCGCTATCGCCATCGTAAGATGAAATATCGTAAGTCGGGGACCATTGTAAGTCGGGGACTACCTGTGTATTATTTTATGCATAGTTTGTGGCCACAAGGTGGCAATATACGTGCGTCAAATTGTAACTCGTGAACATTTGTGTGTGGCTTTGCATTATTGCATCGATTAACGCGTGCATAAGTTGTCTTTGGCACCGTACCGAGCCAACTGTGCTAATCGGAGGTGCATTATTGAGCCTGTAGGCAGTGTTGAGTCTATGGGCAGTGTTCAGTCTATGGTGTAGTGCTGAGTCTATGGGCAGTGTTGAGTCTATGGGCACTGTTAGTCTATGGGCACTGTTAGTCTATGGGCAGTGTTGAGTCTATGGGCAGTGTTGAGTCTATGGGCACTGTTAGTCTATGGGCAGTGTTGAGTCTATGGGCAGTGTTGAGTCTATGGGCAGTGTTGAGTCTATGGGCAGTGTTGAGTCTATGGGCAGTGCTGAGTCTATGGGCAGTGTTGAGTCTATGGGCAGTGTTGGTCTATGGGCAGTGTTAGTCTATGGGCAGTGTTGAGCCTTGTAGGCAGTGTTGGTCTATGGACAGTGTTGGTCTATGGGCAGTGTTGAGTCTATGGGCAGTGATGAGTCTATGGGCAGTGTTGGTCTATGGGCAGTGCTGAGTCTATGGGCAGTGTTGGTCTATGGGCAGTGTTGAGTCTATGGGCAGTGTTGAGTCTATGGGCAGTGTTGAGTCTTTGGGCAGTGTTGAGTCTATGGGCAGTGTTGAGTCTTTGGGCAGTGTTGAGTCTATGGGCAGTGTTGAGTCTTTGGGCAGTGTTGAGTCTATGGGCAGTGTTGAGTCTTTGGGCAGTGTTGAGTCTATGGGCAGTGTTGAGTCTATGGGCAGTGTTGAGTCTATGGGCAGTGCTGAGTCTGTGGGCAGTGTTGAGTCTATGGGCAGTGTTGAGTCTATGGGCAGTGTTGAGTCTATGGGCAGTGTTGAGTCTATGGGCAGTGTTGAGTCTTTGGGCAGTGTTGAGTCTATGGGCAGTGTTGAGTCTATGAGCAGTGTTGAGTCTATGGGCACTGTTAGTCTATGGGCAGTGTTGAGTCTATGGGCAGTGTTGGACGGCCGTAGAAGCGCGTCTAGAAAGCGCTGCGCGATGCAGTTGACCGTCTTTATTCGATGGCTAGCCACAAAAGCCGCTGTGAGGATGACCGGAGTTTGCGTGATGGTGGTTTCTGCTCCTTGACGAGATCAGCGAGGTGTACTACTTGTGTGTGGTTTTGTGTGTAATCAGCGTGCAATGAGTAGTTTTCCAGTGTAATTTTTTTCTAATTGGGCAGCATTTGGAACCCTGACACCAGCACACGCAGGGGCCTGCTCTTGTGCCTGACGTCACGCGATCTTGAGTGTCTACTATAAAAGAAGACGTGGGGGGTGCTCAGGTATCATTAACGGTTGTTCAACATACGCAGTATTAATCAGGGCGGCCCCTGGGTTTGAACTGCGAACCTCTGCGACAATCGGCAAAGTCGCTACCGCGTGGCCACATCACCCCCCCCCCTCCTCCTCGGCATCCCCTCCCCCCTCGGCACCCCCTTTTTAACAAGAATCACTGCCGATTTCATCTGTATTTCTTTTTTACATTTCCCCTAATATGTTTAACACTTTTATTTTCCTACATGGCCACTGGCAACACTATTTTCCCCTTTTGACTATAAATAAGGGTCATTGCCCGAAACGTCGTCTACTACAGTAATAGTCTTCCTGTGAAGCACACACTGTTATGTGGCGAAAGTGTTGTGGGTTATTGTTATTTTAGTGGGGGTTTTTTTTCCCCGCTTATACGACTCTGACCTCTGGTGGGCAGGCGTGGAGTTGCAAAATATAAGCTCCGGGTCAGCCACTTCCCAAACACACCCTGGGTTCTCACTCTGCAATGACAAAAAAACAAGGTCACGGTGCTGCTGGTGGTGGTAATATAAGAGTGCACGTAGCCTGGCACAAGCGACATAGTGACCTCGCCGCTACTTAGTGGCGAATGGCGACTGTTGTTGTTATTGTTGTTGATGTAAGACAGCGTCGCGCAGGGCCACTGGCGGCCCTTAACATGCGGGGGTTACCCTCACCGACAACACACAAACAGTGAAAACACCACCCCCATCGTCATCGTCATCATCGTGCTGCTGTCAAACCCCCAATGGTTTCAAATGCCTGGCGGCCCTCGCACACCGATGATGTCTTATCGGCGAAAGTGCCCACACCCTCCCCCTCCAACCCTCTGAAAATTATTCAAGAACACTGATAATAGACCTCCGATTGGCACAGTTGGCTGTGTACGGTGCGAAAGAAGTCCAACGTACATTTAGGGCCATTGTCATATCTCGGAAGCTAAGCGTGATTGAGCCTGGGTCGACCCACTCACCGACCCACTCACCCACTCAGTCACTTTCTCACCCATTCACACTCACCGACCCACTCACCGACCCACTCGCCCACTCACTCAGTCACTCTCGCACCCATTCACACTCACCGACCCACTCACCGACCCACTCACCGACCCACTCACTCAGTCACTCAGTCACTCTCTCACCCATTCGCACTCGCCGACCCACTCACCCATTCACAGTCACCGACCCACTGACCGACCCACTCACCGACCCACTCACCGACCCACTCGCCCACTCACTCAGTCACTTTCTCACCCATTCACGCTCACTGACCCCCTCACCCATTCACATTCACCGACCCACTCGCCCACCCACTCGCTCAGTCACTCTCTCACCCATTCACACTCGCCGACCCACTCACCCATTCACACTCGCCCATTGACCCACCCACTCACCACACCGCAGTTCACGCCACTTTTCTTTCTGCATCTTCCTACTTTGCAATTCCCTCCTTCCCACCACCGTCTCGTTTCCCACCCCCGTCTCGTTTCCCACCCCCTTAGAACCTTTTGCTCATTCTTGTCATCTATTATCGCTTATCTTTTATAGTCTTGAAGATTCCTGTTTGTTACTGGCTTATTTGTGGGGTCTGTGCCCAGCAAAACGCAATATATGTTTAAAAAAATAAAGATCTTAGTGGTGGCTACTCAGTGCCTTCGGCGTGGCCATTATGAACCCCCCCCCTAGAGCCACCCAGTTGGGCCCGCTCAATTGTGTGGTGCCAATCAAGACTCAAAAAAACCCAAACCCCCCCCCCTTCCCCCCCCCCCCCCCCTTCCAGCAACGCGGACATTCCCCTGTAGCCCCACGACAGATGCTCGGTCTGGCCCGGGGCTGCCGTAGATTTCTATTTTCAGGCGCAGTTGCCGCGTGTCCGCATTTAGACGGCGGGTGGTGGGTTCTTTTGGCAAAGTGGCAACAGCAAGTGGTACGGCAACGGCGGTGGCGGCGGCGGCGGCGACGACGAGGAGGACGGCGTTGTGAAATGATAAAGCGACATTTCGGGATGATTTATGGGCCACCCCTTCGCTTTGTCGACTTGTAACGCACGCTCGCACTTGCACGCACGCACTCGCACGCACTCACTCGCGCGTCGATCCCGTCGCTCGCAAACACCCCCCGGGGTGGATCGGCGTTGTGCCAGGGCCTAATGCGCGAGGGGTCAGCGACTTTTAAAAGTTCAACGTCGCACCGCCAAAGTGATTTTCCAATTCGACTGAGCGCTTGAGAGGCTACGGCGCGCCACTCTCATGGACGATTAAGGGTTATGTTTGGAGTTAGGACTGCGTTCAGGTTAAAGGGTCAGCGTAACGGTTCGAGCTAGGCGCAGTTATCGGTTTAGATATAGGGCCACGTTAAAATAACCGTGAGAACTCGGGGCCAATTCCTCAACAGACTCCATCCAGAACCGAGTCTCTAATTACACTTCACTTGCACGTTCATCGCCAATGAACGTTAATTGTCACAGAGAGGGCTCGTACGTCCGTGTAATTCTCTATTGCTGTGCTCAGACAGTGCCTGCCTGTCTCGGCTTCACCGAGAAGTGGGGCCCAGATGTCCTCAGGAAGGGATGTGCGACGACCCAAATTCATCACCGTCTGGGGCGGCGAGCTTCGAGAAGTTGCTTGGTGGCCTGGTGGAGGGGAGTGGAGTGGGGGGGGGGGGGGGGTTAGGGCACCACGGTGGCTAGGAGATGTTAACTACCTCGCCTGGTATACAGGAGGTCGTGAGTTCGATCCCAACCCTGACGCCTGCTGCATATTTGGAGTTTGCGTGTCTCTCTCTTTCTCCCAATGGCCGCGTGGATTTTTCTCCGGGTCCTCCGGTTTTTCCCTCCACATTTAGAATCAACGTCACGCGTTTAGAGTATTTGTCTGCTATACATCTCCACGTGATAAGCCACTTTGTTGAGCTATCATTTGTGGCCAGGTCGTTTCTGAATAAGAACTATGTAGCTGGGTGGGCCTTACCTGGTAAACTAAAAACAAAATAGTTACTTTAGGGTTAGCACCTCTGAGGGATCCTTGATTCCAATTCCGGGTCTCAGCCGGCCTAACCGTAATTAAACCGGGTTCTCCAGTGCGCCGAGTCCGAATCGGAATCAAAATATGTATTACAACTGGAGGAATCCGACGAGCTAAGTAGCTCTTTTTTTTACACAGATGTCCAGTGGAATCGATGGTCTTCGCCCTCAGCCCGGTCACCAATGACGACTCAGGTCGGTGTCGCCAATCTCTTGAGTCCGCCCGTCCACCTCCTGAATTCTCCGTCTGTCAAGAATAAAACATCAAAGCGGAGCCGATTTCGTCGATACACATTTGGTAAATCGGCAAAAAAAATTTTTTCCCCAATCGACCGCCCTGTTCTTGTGGTCGATTGTCGGGCCCCAAAATCCGGCCCCCTCAGCGAAGGCTGGAACCCCCCCCCCCCGCCCCCCGCCCATTGTGACGTGGAGTATGATGGCGATGATGTCACTTCAAAAGATCCCCTGTAAAGCCTTAAGAGACTGTAGGGGCAAGTGCTGTTAGCGAGCATGCACCTATGAAGGCCGCCACGTCACACGAGACTATGCCCGACCGCCTTTGTCTCCCCGGTGGCGATGTTTTTACACACCTCACCAGAAAACTAATTTAAGGCTGAGTCGACCTAGGCGCGAGGGCCCAGGACCGCTTCGGATAACTCGAGTGTCTCGCACCTCCTCTCTTCTCGTTCACTCGTTCCAATGCACTGCTGATGCCTAGCCAAGTGGGAACCCCCCCAGTGGCAGCTGTCCCTACGCGGCACAAGGTGTACGCAGCACGGGGCCGACAAGCAGCGCATGCAGCCACCTCCGCCCGGCTTACAGCCTGGAGCGAGTCGGCTGAGAATGTGTCGGTTCGCTCCCTTTTGGTGGTGGTGGTGTGAATGTTTCTCAGACTCGAGAAAAGTTTTGCGCCCATTTATCCGAGGCGGGGTGGGTGCGGGGGAGAATGTGACGCGCTGTGCACTTTGCGCCGTGAGTTATCCGTTGTCGAGCGATCCGGCTCGGCGCTCGGGGGGGGGGCTCGAGTCGTGAAGGCGTCGCGGGTTCTAATCCTGGCGAGGGTTCAACTGACGCTCGTCGTCCTTGATCACGATCACCGTTACGGGGTCTATAAGCTGGGTACTCGGTATCAGTGACGTGCGGTGAGGTCAATGGCTGGGGAGGCAATGGCTAGTGTCAGAGCCAGATTCACACACTGAGGGGGGCGTGGCCTCATTGAGGGGGCGTGGCCTCGTTGAGGGAGGCGTGGCCTCGTTGAGGGGGCGTGGCCTCATTGAGGGGAGCGTGTTAGACACGTCCCCCTCAGTGAGGCAGATGTGATAGCTGCCTCGCCTGCTGCTTCTTCATTGCAGTTTCATGACGAGACCAGCGATCCTAAATATCTTTATACACATACGTGAAATACGTTACCTGGAGTATGGAAGGCGAGGACATGAAATAAAGGGGTCTACAAACATTACATTGGTGACACACTGAGATAGTAACAGGCACGCGCTTATTGCCCACGCTCCATCCAGTTACTGAGGGGTTGCGCAATCAGAGGGGAGGCTGAGGTCGTCGCTGCCTCACCTCTCGTCTCTTCATGTATTTGCAGCGGAGCTCCGCAAATTTGGCGATTTTGACTCTAAAAATGATTGGAATCGTACAGAAATGACATTTATAACACAGATCAGTGGAAAAATCTTAATGTTTATTTTATTAGATTATTCTTTTTTTTTACTTTTCGTAACAGCTATTTCCATTTGAGTATGGCAGGTGAGGCTCTGCCTCCCCTGCCTCCTCTGACCGCACGTCCCTGCTGTGTACTGCTTTGTGGAGCATCGGATTTTGATCGTTTAGGAAATGTCCTCTTGTCGTATCGTAAAAAAATTCTGTCACCTTCTCCCGGCCAGCCAGGACATGGCATCTTGATGTCCAGTGCTGGTTGACGAGTGTACCAGTGTCTGAAGAAGAACGCATTTTCCGCAGTGTGTATCACCTTGTTGTGACGTACGGAGAGTGACAGAGAAATGGAACGATCCGATGCTGATGATGACAACGATGATGATAACGATGATGATGATGATGACAACGACGATGCTGACAACGACGATGATGATGATGATGATAATGATGCTCTTCTTTGGTTCTTTCGATGAAGGCCGCTTGTGTTGTGGCCGAAACGTCGTGAGAATATTATTGTGTTATTTTATTTTATCAATTTATTATTTTATTCTCATTCTACGTGACTTTACCGAAAGAACCAAAGAAGATGAATCCTTGCAGTCACGAAAGCTTCAAATCGAGATAATGATGATGACAACGATGACGATTATGATGATGACGACGATGCTGACAACGACGATGCTGACAATGACGATGCTGATGATAATGATGATGATGACGACGATGATGATGATAATAATGATGATGATGACGACGACGATGATGATGAAGGAAGAAGCAATCCAGGCGGCGGAGTGGCTTTTGAGGTCAGAGCGCCGAGCCAGCACTGGAATCGCATCCAGGTTGTAGCCACTGCCCGTGATGAAACCGGGTTCTCAAGTCTACTGAGTTGATGCAGAACAAACCCATCATATTGAATTCATGTTCGGTAGATTACAGCTCTGATGGTGATCATATCAGTTTGAATTTCATGCAACGAGCATTACTCTGTGTCACAGGGTGGGCGAGAGAGAGCTGCCTTCTACACTCAGTATGTGGACCGGCGGTCACTTGAAAGGATCTCAGATGTAGCTCTGTTGTATCCACTTTCGCGGGCCATTCTCGAACACTTGGGGTTGCGCTGCTGCGCAATAGATGCAATAGACGCAAATGACATCAGGCCTGCAGCACAACGGGGATGACATTTGGGGGCAATTTTGTGCAAATATTTTTATTAGGATCATATTGCGGCAGCGCTGTTTGGTTGGAGTGGCTGTGTGAGGTGCATTGTGGGTGCAGGAGAAGGGGTGGTGGAGGGGGCAGTGGCAGGGAGGAGAGAGATGTGGTGGGGGGGGGGGGTGCGTGGCGGATGGGGCGAACATTAATCAGAGTTCTTTCAAAGCAGAAATCGAAGCCAAAACGGAAATGAGCGAAGGATCGTAATGTTCACGACTTCACGGTACCGCGGCTCCTTCCAGCGAGTCTCGAGCACAAACGCAGCCTCGTGCATCCATCATCCTTGTCGGCAGCCATCGCGTGTCTGCGGTCGGATCAAGGTCCTCGCCAAAGGGAGAACACGCAAACTCCAAATGTGCAGCAGACGTCTGGATCGGGATCGGGATCGAACTCGCGAACTCCTGCATTCCAGGCGAGGTAGTTGAGATCTCTCCCGTATACCAGGCGAGGTAGTTAAGATCTTCCTGTCTCTCGGTGCAATGCCAGTCACGCACCTCCGCTTATGCTGTACTGCTCTCGGATGTTAGCTTCGTTCTTGGGATTGTGACCCAGTGATCGCGTGGGGGAAGCTTCCATCCAGCCATGGATAGATCATGACCGCCGCCGCTGATGATTGATCGCAACGATGGAATACGGATAATAATAATGCTAACTGCGGTGAATTGAATGCAACACAGTGACCGCTTGCAACTTGTGCTGATCCGCCCCATACTGGACATCGGTCAAAAAGAGATTAGTAGCTCGTCGAATTCCTCCAGTCTAAATAAAGACTGTGATGATGCATAATGAGATGAAGTCATCCACGTACAACCAATTGGTGCCGCTCTGTAGGGAAGTCAACAGTGGTTGTCCTACGACTCGACTCAACCCCGCCGTGGGAATGCGGAATTTTCTAACACTGGGTCAGGGACCGTAAACAGGAAATGAGCAATCTCTCAATGCTCGGTTGAGCCAGAAAATCACCGAGGCCGGGCGGTCGTGGCTACGCCGCACGTGGCTGTCTGTGATCCAGCTCTGTCGAGGCAGCAGCGGCGAGGGGTCGGGGGTTGGGGGTTGGTGGATCACCGCACGACTGCTGCTGCCGCCGCTCGTCGAGCCGTCGTGGAATTCCTCTCCCGCAGTCGCCCCCGCATCTGCGTGGCGCCGCGATTGGGGGGGAGGGTGCGGAATTTGGGTGATGTCAGCAGGAGGCATTGCGGGTAGGGGAGAGGACTATCGAAGTTAGGGAACGCGCAAGCGGATTTTTTTTTGGGGGGGGTGGGGGGGGGGGTCAGGGAGGCGATGGGCGGTGGCGAACGTTGGGGGGCCGTGAGGCTTCGAAGGTTTGCGAGGGTGTCTGGAGTAAAAAAATAATAATTTTGATTTAACAAAAAAATCGCCGCATTCCAGTACGTAATAGTTTCCGTAGATTTAACAGGGTGCGTGAAAAGTTACCGACCGGGCGCGTATGAATTATTTGTCCTGCTTGGCTTTGGAATTTGCCTACGAAAAAAACACGTGCGCGCGCGTGCACACACTACTCACACACTAAGACGAAGATACACGCACACAGAGACAAAGATCCCCCGTGTAGGCTGTAACAGACTGTTGGGGCAAGGGCTGTTAGCGAGCAGTAGCACCTAACGAAGGCCGTTACGGCACACGAGCGGGTGGGTGGCCAAGCTTCACGCCCGGCCGAGTCGACCACGGGGAGGCCCAGAACCGGTTCATATAATCGTCACTGTTATTGGCCGTGAGCGGAAATCGAACTCGGGTCGCCGTGTTCGTAGTGCAGCACGCTCACCGCTACACTACCGCTCGCCCACACGCACAGGCACACGCCGCAGAAGTGATGTTGTTATCGAAGGCAACGGAGAGAGCTGGGGATAGTGAGCGTCGCCCCCCCCAATCCCCGCTGCAGTTTCTCTTTCCCCACTTCTCACGGCGGTTGCGCTCAACACACTGACGGCGGTGGCTCAGCGCGAGATGCGCACGCACGCACGCACGTTGAACTTCTTTTGCACCGTACGTAGCCAGCCAAACGTGCTAATCGGAGGTGCGCAGGGAACGAGCCGACAGGCGGCGAGCGATGGTGCGAATGCGCCAGCCTTGGCTCTTCACCTCGAGGAAGGTCACGGGGGTGTGGGGGTTGTCGCCGATGCTCCATCTCGCTTTGTTGGCGTTGTTGTCGGCCGAAAGAAATTGATCGGGAGCCGCGGCTGCCGTAACAAGAGGAAGATCTCAAGCCAGCGCCCGGCTTGAGATCTTTCCCTTGTTACACAGTTGACAAATCGTCTTTCAATCAATGAGTCCCCTCCTAGTATAATGATAGTTTAAAAATATATACAATTTTCATTGTAGCAGGTAAGGCCCACTGAGCTATATAGCTCTTCTTCAGAAGCGACCTGGCTATGACAAATGATAACTCAACAAAGTGGCTTATCAGCATGTGCAAATGTATAGCAGCTACATACTCTAAACGCACGTTGATTGTAAATTTGGAGGGAAAACCGGAGAACCCCGGAGAAAAATCCACGTGACCTCGGGGAGAGAGAAAGAGAGACGCAAACTTCAAATGTACGGCAGGCGTCAGGGCCGGAATGGAACCCACGACCTCCTGTATACCAGGCGAAGAAGTTAACATCTCCTAGCCACCGTGATGACGATGATGATGAGAGAGAGACACAAACTTCAAATATACAGCAGGCGTAAGGGTCGGGATGGAACCCACGACCTCCTGTATACCAGGCGAGGGAGTTAACATCTCCTAGCCACCGTGTTGATGATGATGAGAGAGAGAGAGACACACACTTCAAATATACAGCAGGCGTCAGGGTTGGGATCGAACCCACGACCTCCTGTATACCAGGCGAGGTAGTTAACATCTTGCTGCCGCGGCACCCTGATATGAATTCAGCCATCCACTAACGAGTGTCTCAACCGAGCAGTCAAACTGAGCCAACTGCTCGCAATCTGAAGGTTGCAAGTTCAAATCCCAGTCGGAGGGGTGGGGGGGTTGACTCGGCCCATCATCCCTCTAGGGTCGATAAAATAGTACCAATTTGTGGGGAAGTCAACAGTGAATAGACTCGCCCACCCCACTCCCGCCATATGACTGTGGAATTTCCACCACTGTCTCGTTTGATCAGGGGGGAATCACTCGGACTTGACATTCCAAGAATCCATAAACGAGAAAATCCCCACCAAAAAAAAATCCACTTCCCTGGAGGAGGAAACGAGCCGAGAGACGGTTTGGACGTGGCTCTGCGCCAAGACGGTTTGGACGTGGCTCTGCGCCAAGAAGGTTTACGAGGAACGGCGTTCCGGGGAACCGGCGTTCTGGCGGACCGAACCCGGCTGCGATGGAGTCGCCGGACGCGACTGGAGCGCCCCGCCACAGCTGCTCCGTGTTAGCCGCTATCCCCCGCCACCTCCGCCGACCGAAATCCCCGGCGGCGTGGAGCTTGGGTCCCCGGCCGCAGGAGTCGATGACGGATCGGAGGAAATCGCCGTCTGTGACGGGAGTCACGTGATTGCCCGGGGGGTGGGGGGAGGTGCCTGGGAGGACTGGTGGCCACTTTTCCTAACATATCCCAATTCCCCCCCAAAAATTATATACGCTCTATATTTTATTTAGTGTTAGTTATTTCAACAAAATGTGTAATTTGTCAATGTCCCCCCCCCCCCGCTATTCCATGCGTGCGAATAGCGGAGATATCTGTTCGGACCAATCGCGGAGCAGCAGGGTACCACTCCGCGTGCCGGAGAGCGGCCTGCGAAAGTGAATATAATTATTATCTCTGTAATATTCACTTTCGAAGGCCGCTGCGGAAATGAATTTCTGAGACCCATGCCAGTTGTTATCCACAGTTGGGCGGCGGCACTTTCAAACTTACTTCACTGCAGAAGTGATTGTGCCGTGGAATTAAAACCAAAAATCTATTTTCATATTCACAGAGCTGGAATTTTACGAACGTAATGGGTGTGTTTTTTTTGCGAAGTCATCATCGTGACCGGGCCGAGACCTTCAACTCTCTACACTTGAGAATTCACTACCCATGCAGTACTCGACTTACGAACAACTTAAAACTGCTTTTAAATTTTACCAGGTAGGGCCCACACTGAGCTATACTCTACAGCTCTTTTTCAGAAGTGACCTGGCCACAAATGATAGTCCAATGAAGTGGCTTATATGGACATTTATATCAGTAGCCAAATACTCTAAACGCGTGATGTTGATTCCAAATGTGGAGGGAAAACCCGGAGGACCTGGAGAAAAATCCGCACGACCACGGGGAGAGAGTGAGAGACACGCAAACTCCAAATATACGGCAGGCGTTAGGGTCGTGATCGAATCTACACCCCGCTGTATAGCCGGTGAAGTAGTTAATATCTCCTAGCCACCACGGCACCCTTACGAACACCCGACTTACCAACCAATGGGTCTCAGGAACTAATTATGTTCACAAATCGAGGACTGATCGTACTGTCATTCTTGGCTCTGAAATCCAGATTTGAAGGAGATGGCGATAAAAATCGGATAAACTTTCTGTAGAGGTGTTTTTTGGGTTATTTCCATATATATAAAAGGCAAAGTTGTGATTGTGTGTCTGTTCAAAATGTTTAGCATACTTCCCGACATGCAACAAACTTGAAATTTGCCATGGGGAGGGGAGCTCAATAATGCATATATATTTTTTGCACGGCAAGTGAGCTGTGACGTCAAATCTTTCATGTGACCCGTGTGCGGAAGCATAACGGAGTGTGCCTGCTGATTGCGGGTAAAGTGCCATACAAATGTGTTGCAGGTCTAAGGCGTTCTTCGCGCAGCATTGCTTTATTATTTCAGTCGTTTGCTGCCGTACGCACCCTGAAAGTTGGTGTGACTGCAGCAAGCACGTGTATGTGTACCTATGGACGCACGCGTGTGTGTGTGTGTGGTGGGAGCGGTAGTGTAGTGGTTAGCGCCCTGTGTGTGTCTGTGTGTGTGTGGTGGGAGCGGTAGTGTAGTGGTTAGCGCGTTGCGCTGCGCTACGAACCCGGCGACCCGAGTTCGATTTCCGCTCACGGCCAACACCGGTGGCGATTGTTTTAACCGGTCCTGGGCCTCCCCTAGGTTGACTCAGCCTCAAACGCGTAACTGGTGTGGTGTGTGAACATCGCCACTGGGGAGACAAATGCAGCCGGGCGTGGTGAATCCAAGTCCCGGGCGAAGCCGGGTAGGAAAGCTAGTATATCATGTAAATATAAATGTGTCGTTAAACCCGCCACCACCTGACACAGCCAATTAGTAAGGTTTGTCACGTAAACAAAACATGCCAGTTCGTTACAAGTTCAGCACACCGGTTGCGTGTTGGAGAGTAGACCCACAACATTTACTATTCAAGTACCGTGACGTTTCACCGGTAATTACAACAACAACAACCAGCATCATCAGGTGGACAGCCAGAGTTGGTGAGACTTCCTCCTCCTGTTTCGGTCTTAAAATGTTCTCCCTTTGTGACCCCGCACAAGTGGCAGCAACTATGAGTCTGGCCCGATTCCTGTTGATGGGGTGGAACCACAGGACTGTTATAGATTGGACGGGGTTGGGGGTGGTGGCCCTCTTCGTATTAAATTTTATTCCTCCCATCGACTCCTTTACCACTACCCATGCCAAACACTCGACTGTCGGTTGCCCCCTCGGTTATCGCAGTTGTTGTTGTCTTAACGCGACGTACGAACTGCAAAAAAGCCAAATTTACATTAAAACGAACAAAACCAGTGCACATTTTCAGCGCGGAACTGGTACCAATGCACACGGTGATATCCTTGGCTTTGTGCGCATGCATGTTGAACCCTTTTTGCAACCGTACGCAGCTAACCGCGCTGATCGGGAGATGCGAAACAACCAAGGTGCACAATCGATTTGATCATTGTTCTGCAACATTGCATTTGAACCGTCATTAAAGCTGTGTATTTATACTCTTTAGGGGTGCGGGGAGTGGTGGTGGTTGGAACACAGAATGTTGAGGCAACCTCGGGCTACAGCCCCACCCCGCCCCCCCCCCCATGTTAATCGGGCTTTCGTCGTCGGACTGTCGGACTATGGGAGCCTTCGGCCTTGCTTGTGTAAAATAAAAAAAAGCCGCTGCTGTGCATGGCCCTGAGCTTGCGCAAGCTCCCACGGGGAAAACCAAAAAAAAACCTCACGACCCGCTATAATTGTGGTGCTGGGAGCAGCTCACGAGACCCCAGGAGACGCCCTCCGCTTGTCGCTGCTCCCCCATTGGTGGCAGCTGTCATAGCCTCTAGCCCCCCCACTATCTACCACTGTCATAGCCACTAGGCCCCCCACTCTCTACCACTGTCATAGCCACTAGGTCCCCCACTCTCTACTACTCTAGTAGCCACTAGGCCCCCACTCTCTACTACTGTAGCAGCCACTAGGCCCCCCACTCTCTATTACTCTCGTAGCCACTAGGCCCCCCACTATCTACTACTGTAGTAGCCACTAGGCCCCCACTCTCTACTACTGTCATAGCCACTAGGCCCCCCACTCTCTACTACTGTAGTAGCCACTAGGCCCCCACTCTCTACTACTGCCATAGCCACTAGGCCCCCACTCTCTACCACTGTAGTAGCCACTAGGCCCCCCACTCTCTACTACTGTAGTAGCCACTAGGCCTCCACTCTCTACCACTGTAGTAGCCACTAGGCCCCCCACTCTCTACCACTGTAGTAGCCACTAGGCCCCCACTCTCTACTACTGTCATAGCCACTAGGCCCCCACTCTCTACTACTGTAGTAGCCACTAGGCCCCCACTCTCTACTACTGTCATAGCCACTAGGCCCCCCACTCTCTACTACTGTAGTAGCCACTAGGCCCCCCACTCTCTACCACTGTCATGGCCACTAGGCCCCCACTCTCTACTACTGTAGTAGCCACTAGGCCCCCCACTCTCTACTACTCTAGTAGCCACTAGCCCCCCCCCACTCTCTACTACTGTAGTTGCCACTAGGCCCCCACTCTCTACCACTGTCATAGCCACTAGGCCCCCACTCTCTACTACTGTAGTAGCCACTAGGCCCCCACTCTCTACTACTGTAGTAGCCACTAGGCCCCCCCTCTATCTACTACTGTAGTAGCCACTAGGCCCCCACTCTCTACTACTGTAGTAGCCACTAGGCCCCCCACTATCTACTACTGTAGTAGCCACTAGGCCCCCACTCTCTACTACTGTCATAGCACTAGGCCCCCACTCTCTACTACTGTAGTAGCCACTAGGCCCCACTCTCTACTACTGTCATAGCCACTAGGCCCCCCACTCTCTACTACTGTAGTAGCCACTAGGCCCCCCCACTCTCTACCACTGTCATGGCCACTAGGCCCCCACTCTCTACTACTGTAGTAGCCACTAGGCCCCCCACTCTCTACTACTCTAGTAGCCACTAGCCCCCCCCCCACTCTCTACTACTGTAGTTGCCACTAGGCCCCCACTCTCTACCACTGTCATAGCCACTAGGCCCCCACTCTCTACCACTGTCATGGCTACTAGGCCCCCACTCTCTACTACTGTAGTAGCCACTAGGCCCCCACTCTCTACTACTGTCATAGCCACTAGGCCCCCACTCTCTACTACTGTAGTAGCCACTAGGCCCCCACTCTCTACTACTGTAGTAGCCACTAGGCCCCCACTCTCTACTACTGTCATAGCCACTAGGCCCCCACTCTCTACTACTGTAGTAGCCACTAGGCCCCCACTCTCTACTACTGTAGTAGCCACTAGGCCCCCACTCTCTACCACTGTCATGGCCACTAGGCCCCCACTCTCTACTACTGTAGTAGCCACTAGGCCCCCACTCTCTACTACTGTCATAGCCACTAGGCCCCACTCTCTACTACTGTAGTAGCCACTAGGCCCCCACTCTCTACTACTGTCATAGCCACTAGGCCCCCACTCTCTACTACTGTAGTAGCCACTAGGCCCCCACTCTCTACTACTGTCATAGCCACTAGGCCCCCCACTCTCTACTACTGTAGTAGCCACTAGGCCCCCCACTCTCTACCACTGTCATGGCCACTAGGCCCCACTCTCTACTACTGTAGTAGCCACTAGGCCCCCCCACTCTCTACTACTCTAGTAGCCACTAGCCCCCCCCCCACTCTCTACTACTGTAGTTGCCACTAGGCCCCCACTCTCTACCACTGTCATAGCCACTAGGCCCCCACTCTCTACCACTGTCATGGCCACTAGGCCCCCACTCTCTACTACTGTAGTAGCCACTAGGCCCCCACTCTCTACTACTGTCATAGCCACTAGGCCCCCACTCTCTACTACTGTAGTAGCCACTAGGCCCCCACTCTCTACTACTGTAGTAGCCACTAGGCCCCCACTCTCTACTACTGTCATGGCCACTAGGCCCCCACTCTCTACTACTGTAGTAGCCACTAGGCCCCCACTCTCTACTACTGTAGTAGCCACTAGGCCCCCACTCTCTACTACTGTAGTAGCCACTAGGCCCCCACTCTCTACCACTGTCATGGCCACTAGGCCCCCACTCTCTACTACTGTAGTAGCCACTAGGCC